GATGATCAAATTCCATCCTTTTCTTTCTCTCCACGGTGTCCGCAGCCTCTCCCTGGCGGAAGCCTTGCATACTAAACACATCATCTTTGTTCTGTGCTGGTCTCAGAATGCTCGCTTTTTCTGCTGACTGCAGTAGAAAACGGTCGGCTAATTCTGATTTTCACAGTCTGTCTGCACTGCAGCCCGCTCCCTCATCAGGGGCATTTCCCCGAGGAAGACATAAGGGGATAATTGGCTAATCAATATGGAGGGCAGCATGCTAAGGGAAGCGAGGGATTCAGAGGCCGTGGCGCAGGCCGCTCATCACCTCCCCCAGCTCTCCCCTCGGGGCACGCCTGCCCCAAGTCATCACGACACGGTAGCAACCGGGGGCCTGTTTGAAAGAAAGGGCACCCCAGGAATCTCACCATTCAACTGTTCCAGTAGAAGGAATTCGCATGGTATCGTTTCTGCCTCAAGTTCCGTTAATGGAGTTACTGCAGCGAGGACCTGTCCTGCTAGAAGACGGTCTCCCGAAGGCTGAGGGAGCAGATCGGGGCCATCCCGGTTACTTCGGTCGGAGGGAGTCCTGTCACACCTGCCCAGCACAGGCCGCACCTCCTGCGTGGTCTCCACAGCCCACATTGCTGTCCTGGCTCTGGTCAGCCGCTTTGCCTGGCCTGGGCAGTCTTAGGAGAACTATTCAAGGTTTGGTTCCTTCAAACACCCGCTCCTCCTCATGGGGGTGGGGGTGGGGCAAATAGAGCTGCTAATCTCACAGAGCTGCTAATCTACACAGGGGCTGGCTGAGTTCTCGTGATGGCCCAGCACAGGTCGGGGCAGCCTGGAGCTGCCTCTGAAGGCTGTGTCCAAGGAGGCAGCGCACACGCCTTCGATCTGGACGCACTCCTCTGCACTCCACAGAGAGCTGTCATGTCCACGTATGGGGAATAAACACGTATCCCAAAGTATGTGCACACACATGCAGATAGAAACATGTATCTGTAGACGTGTGTGCATACATATGCATTCAAATAATTATTCTTTTTTTGGATTACCTTGTGAAAACAAAGTGTAACTTATGGACATTTTATATCCATTTAATCTACACTTCTATCATAGGAAATCCCAAAAGACATTTGTCAAAATATATTAAAAAATCTGCTAATGAACAATATGTTGACATTGGGATGAGGGAATTTAATCATGTGAAATTAACCCCCCCCGATATTTTAAAAATAGAATTCTTCATGTAAAAGACCAACCTATGATAGGTCAACTTTATACTAAAGATGTACTGATTAATTATGAGCTCAGTGTCATCTGAGATATTCAGCACCTGAGTAAATCCTTGTTATCCTTGTTGTTCAAATTTGCTGTTGTTCAAACAAACAGAAATTGATAAAAGAACTTGAGTTCTGTAATAAGAAAAGCTACCAACTGAGTCTGACTATATAGCCACCACTTACAGAAAATAATTTAGGATGTGTTTCTAATTAACACAAAGAGAGTAAAATAGTCTCTGCCCCACTTATCCCATATAATCAACAGAAAGATCAAACACAACGCTTCACATAAATATGCTCACAGCAAATGCACAGAATTATTTTGGTTTATGTGCAACTGTGATGCTTAAGGATCTTTGGAGTTAAAAGAAATACTTAATTCACAAGTCTTAAATAATGTTTCTTCCATAATCTATGAGCTCCTGTGGTAATAATTTGATAATTTGTGCAAATTTGTTTTATCCAAAACAAAACCTCTCAATAAACTCCTCATTTCACTTTATAATCGAGGCGGCATCATGGCAGGGATTGGATCATGATGGCGGATGCCCAGCTGCCCCCTGTGGGGCCTGGCGGCCCTCACATAGGGTCTGGGGGTTTTGGCCTCCCTGCTCACAGCCCAGGCTCTGTGCTCCCGCTTTTCCTACTTTCCGTAGTGCCCCTGTGTGCAGGGAATGAGGCCGGACGGCTGCAGCTGGGGCCTGTGGCTGGCTCCAGGGTCCACAGAGGCCTGGGACCCACCTCAAGACCGCACCAGACAGGGAGACTGGTGCGGAGCGCCTGGGCCCCCGTGCTCTGTGCCATGAGCTGACTGACTTGATGTCCGGGTGGAATGCTCTCCATGATGAAAACTGGCCGGGCCTTCAAAGCCTTCCTGCAGTGAATGAACACACCTGGGGCCATGCACGCGAGCCCCGGCTGCTTGATCCACAGAGCATGGCGGTCTTCCTGGAGATTCCCGACTCTGACCGGCAAGGAAGTACCTGAGTGTGACCCACTTGGGCTGTAAGAGGGATACAGCCACGTGGTGGGTGGGCTCCTGTGACTGGCTTCAGAGCCCCCAGGATCAGGCACTCACAGAAATGTATTCCCAGGAGAAAGTCACAGGCCTGGGTCACAAGAGCCACCGCTGCTAACTCTGAATGTCCCCAGACTCTCAGGGAAGCCATCCAAAAGGGGTCAGGCCTGCGCTTTCTACCCCAGAAATCTAGCCACTTGGATGTCTTTGCAGACAGTCCAACCTCACAGCAGCTCACATTTGAATTCTACTTGAGTCTCCTAGGTGGTCTCCATAAGGTCTCCTGACGTGACTGAGAGGTGGCAGACACTAACCAAGGACTCTGAACCAGGACCCTGTGGTCAGCTTGGAGCCCTGTGGTCAGCTTGGAGCCCTGTGGTCAGCTTGGAGCCCTGTGGTCAGCTCAGGGCACTCCGGTCAGCTCAGAGCCCCGAGTTCAGTTTCACAGCACTCCGGTCAGCTCAGAGCCCCGAGTTCAGTTTCACAGCACTCCCATCAGTCTTGGAGCCCTGTGGTCAGCTTGGAGCCCTGTGGTCAGCTCAGGGCACTCTGGTCAGCTCAGAGCACTCCAGTTAGCTCGGAGCCCTGTGGTCAGCATGGAGAACTGCAGCCGATCTGTGTTTGCTTCTTTGTGTGCACACAGTCAGCACACACCCGGTGCCCAGTGCAGTGCCCGGGCAGGGTCAGGGCTCAGGAGCCCTCAGACACAGCAGCGGCTCATCTGATGCTCCTCTCACGCGTCCATAAGCTGTGAGCACATATGGAGTTAGTCCAGCAGCAATGCTATCTGGCTCACTAAGCCATCATCCTCTAAGCCATCAGATCCTCAGTTTAGAACAAACTGGCATTGTACTGACACATTCTAAAATGCCCTCAGTGGCTTAAAGAAAGGGCAGCACCTTGCATAGTTAAAGGTAAACTACTTAAGGTCTGACCCTAAAGAAACTACAACCAGAAGTATAGTTTCTATGAAAAGCAAAGCCCAAACTTGAAGACTCCTAGTTCAATCCAGCACATACAAAAATACTTCATGATTCCAAGCGTTAATGTCTACCACCTCCCACACGAGCTGAGGATATAAAACAATGTGATTTTACGCCGTCTGAGCAGTGAGCCCAGGCAAGATGTAAATGGTCCGTCGGTCTCGACAATTAATGTCACCCAGCCACCGTAGCCACTGCATGGTGACACCATGTCCAGAAATAGTTTGTGTGAGCTGGTCCCCTTTCTGGCCCTCCACGTGTCTCATGACTCAGACAGGTACGTTACTTCTCAGCCTTGCGTCAATGAGATGGCACGTCTGTCCAGGCCTGGCTGGGCAGAGCCAGCACTGATTGTTGGCCATGCTCAATTGTAACTCATTAGGCTTTTCCTTGTCATGCTTTCCAACATAAAGCAGAACTATCAGGAGAATAAACACTAACTTATTCAATATGCAGAGATACAGAAACATGTATGCATGCAAATATAAGCAGCAAATTGTTCTCATAAGAATCTGTGTGTGTGTGTGTGTGTGTGTGTACCAGTAGTTGGCCTTGAACTTAGGTCCTAGGTGCTGTCCCTTGGCTTTTGCTCAATGTTAGTGTTCTACCATATGAACTCCAGCTCCATACCTTGGTGGTTAAATGGAGATGAGAGTCACATAGATTTTCCTGCCTTGGCTGGCTTTGGGCTGCTATCCTCAGATCTCAGCCTTCTGAGTAGCTAAGATTGCAAGTATGAGCCACTGATGTCTGTGAAGATCTTAACCAACTCTGACCATCCAGGAGTGTGTCTTAAAGTTCAGATGGCCTGGCTTCTAAAAGCACACTCAGACTGCACACAGAAGTGTCAACGCGTGTGCGGTGGGAAGGCGTCCCTTCGTTGGTGGAGGTGGTGGCATCCCAGGATTGACTCTTTTGAGTGCAAGGAAGAAGGGTAAGAAGGAAAACCTTCCACACTTCCATCGTTGTGTGGCATTTCTCTGAGGTGAGCTCTACACTGATAAAGACTCACTTCTTTCTAGAAAAAGTAACCTTTAGAACATCATCGTTTTGAGTCCTGTATGAACAGAAGACTACATACAAAATGAGGCAGCTGTTTGGGAAATGCCCTGCTCTCCGAAGAGACTTCTCTGATTGTGGTCTCACAAGTGCCAGGGCAGAAACACGGGTCTCAAATTCCAAGGCCCTGGGCCTTCCCATCCACCATGTTGCAGTTCGTCTTGATCACATGACAGTCTTTCATCTAGATCACATGACAGTCACCCAGCAGAGCTTTGGCGACTGATGGACAGAACCCCCTTCCCCAGCACGTGCCCTCTCACCCCACAGCTGTGTGCCAGCCACACCCACAACACTACAGGGCCTGGACCAGGGATGCCACCCCTTGGAGAGGAAGCTCAGACAAACCTACAAGTCCACAAATGCTACACTCGTCCTCTGGCTAAATTTTGCTTCTCTAATCAAATATGTGTACCATAAATATCTCAGAAAATTGCTATGACAACCCATCTGAATAACAATTTGAGACAAAATCTAAAGTTGAGCGGATCATTTAAAGAAATTCTTTAAGACAAAAGCTAAGCCTGCATAAACAGCTGATGTTTTCAGTATTGAGCAAGCAGACCTATTTGTAGGACAATCACTAGCGTACCATAGAAAAATAGCACCAGAAAACTCACATGGATAACAGACTCAAACCATGACTGGACACTTGACTAGTATTTTAAAGATTACCATTTTCTTCTTCTTCCTCTTCCTCTTCTTCCTCTTCCTCTTCCTCCTCCTCCTCCTCTTCCTCCTCCACATCATCTCCATCTTCATCATCGTCATCATCATCTTCCTCATCAATCTCCTCCTCCTCCTCCTCCTCCTCGTCCTCGTCCTCCTCCTCCTCTCGGTCCACCTCCTCATCCTCGTCATCTTCATCCCCTTGCTCATCATCGTTGTCCTCCGAGAACTCCTCCTCCTCCTCTTCCTCCTCTTCCTCCTCCTCCTCCTCCTTCTCGTCCATGTCTTCAGAGACGTCGCTCTCGTAGCATTCGTCCACCGAGGAGCTGTCTGCCTTCACCGTGAGTGGTTTGCGCTTGGGAGCCGGCTCCTGGGGCTGCTTATCTTGGCTTTTCCTTTTCTTGGCTAAGGGACAGCCATACACGCTGATGAAACATAGATAACAAAAGAGAGAAAGAAATCTGTGTTACTGTTTTTGGCAGTCAGAGCAATAGGGGGACTGGATGAGCACTGTTGAGGCTGAGCGCCAGCCGTGTCACATGACCACCAGGGGACAGGCCTGTGTGCCTGTCCTCACACACCAGCGCCTGCTGGCCAGGAGCTTTGCCTCACCACCTTCACATGTATGGCAAGTCCTCTCCCTCCTCCGTGCTCCAGGTACAAATGGCATGGAGAGCCTGATAAAATCCCTGAGGGTGGGTGAGAGCCATTTGCACAGCATGCACCTCATACAAGCGACAAGGTAAGTTCAGCTCCCGCCGTTTACCTGACATAACCATGCACGACGCTCATCACACATGATGTGAAATATAAAATGCATACCCCACAATAGATTTGGATCTGTGTATTTTCTAGATAAACATATAGCTTTAGGCATGATCACCTTTAAGGAGATAAGTCAGAGATGGGTATTAGTTTTTTTTTCTCCCCCCCAGGCCTGGGGCTTGAACTCTGGGCCGGGGCTGTCCCTGAGCTTCTTTTGCTCAAGTTGAGCGCTCTACCACTTGGGCCACAGCACCACTTCTGGATTTTCTGAATAGTTTATTGGAGATAAGAGTCTCACGGACTTTCCTGCCTGGGCTGGCTTTGAACCGCGATCCTCAGATCTCAGCCTCCTGAGTAGCTGGGATGACAGGTGTGAGCCATGGCTGATTAGCCCCGCTAAGGTTGGTGTTGTTGAGGAGAGCAATCACTCAAGTTCAGGCTGGGCAGACGCCTGCTTTGGCCGGTGTGAGTCTCGATTCCAGCACTCCAGAGTGACCTCACTGTTATCGGTAGTCAGCGCTAACTCAGGCCCAAACTGGCCTGGATTGGGTAAACCCTTCCCTGTGCGAGGCCACAGTCTTTCCCGGAGAAAGGGCCATTTTCCGAACAATGTTTCCAGTTTGGCTTTTTTCCTGACGTTCTTTCTGGAAATCTTATTTATCCTTGCAGGCCAGATGTCCCGACGGAGGGGCTGTGGTGGGAGACGCTGCTGGTCCGGCACGAGACGGCGCCTGCGGCCGTGCTGACCCTGTGGGACTCCTGCAGGCCGGGGCTGGTTTTGGGCCTAGGGATGGTGAGACTGGTCTGGGGCTGGACAGTCTTGGTGGGGTCCCGTGCCACGCAGGAGGGGCAGAGATGAGTCCCAGAGCCTATCAGGGACTTGGGGACAGCAGTGACCCCCATTTTGAGCCAAACTGTGGTGCACCCTGGTTGCTCCAGCACCGCGTGTTGGGGCGTTACAACAGGATGTACCATACGGAGGATGGGGGAAAGCCCTCGGACGACGTGCCTGACAGGCGTCCGTCACGCTGCCCGGTACAGCAAGGGCAGGCGGCACGGCGACGGAGGTCCTCCAGGAAGAGGGAAGCTGGCGTGAACGCCTCGGGGTACACCAGAAACATCCGGCAGGGGGAGACACACGGCAGTGCATGCCAAGCAAGACTGCATGTGCAAAGTATGTGCGGAACAAAGCATGCCGCTGCACGCCTGTAATCCTAGCTACTCAGGAGCATGAGACCTTTCAAAACAACCACCAAAGAGCCAGGCTGGAGGTGTGGCTCAAGTGGTAGAACACCAGCCAAGCAAGCCAGCTGGACATCTCTCAGGCCTTCAGTTCAAACCCCAGTATGACCAAAGAAAAAAAGGAAAGGAAAGAAAAAGATGCGATAGGTTCAGACAACACAAGCAGGAAGTGGCACCTCTGGAGCGGATGGTGATGGAGGAAAGGAGCAGCGTGAGCAGGCGGCATCACGCGTGGCCCACAGGAAGCATGCGCACTCGAGCTCTCCCGAGCACTTAGTGACGTCGTGACTACGTCGTGTCGGGAGGATCTGGAGAGACACCAGGCGGCACAGGGCAGCCAGGCCGTCCGTGGAGGACCGGGCTGGGGGAGGGCAACTCTGCAGTCAGACACACCTCGGAGGGGACACCGAGGCCCGAGGGAGCCTCGGCTTCCCCGGGGGCGAGCAGCCGCATGGGAGGACGCAGGAGGCAGGCCCTGGGGACGGGACGGAAGTGTGCTCGCTCACGGCAGGACTCATCATTGAGTGACTTTGGACGGGCCGTCGGGGGACACTGATGGTTTTATCGGGGATGCAGGAAACCCAGCCAGACGCTTGCGCCGCGTCCTGGTCTAGTGGGTGCGCTGCCGCTGGCCTTCAGTCCTGGAGGGGGCTGACAGCGCGATGCTGGGGGGCCAGAGCGAGGCTCACGGGGAGAGGCCAGCCACCACATGAAGCAGTGGCGGTCAGGAAAGGTAGAGCTGTCTACCGTGTAAAAGCCATGTCCCTTAGACTTACAAAAACAGAACCACAGCGACGGTGACAGGAGAACCCCAGGCTGCTGCTGCCCCGGGTGCCGGGCGCGAAGTCCGGGCTTCCCACGGGGGCTTCCTCACAGGCTGGTGGGGCTGCAGTCCACCTCTCCGAGGCAGTGGCCCCCCCCACACTCTGTCCACACCTGAGGCCTTCCAACCAGCCCGCCACACCAGCGGCTCCTGCTCTGTCCACACCTGAGGCCTTCCAACCAGCCCGCCACACCAGCGGCTCCTGCGCCATGTCCCCTCCCGGAGGGACGTGCTGAATGTGCTGCCCAGGCTTGAGCCAATACCCAAGACATTGCGGCTGAAAGCAGCGCGCCGCTCCCTCCCCACCACCCCAGGCTCCGTGGGCCGCGGCCACCACTGTGTCCTCACCCCACGTCCTCACCCTGCGTCCCCACCCCGCGTCCCCACCCCGCGTCCCCCACCCCATGTCCTCGGCACCCTTCCTCTCCCACTCGCGTGTGTCTTGATGAAGGTGGCCGCAGACGCACTGGGCCCATCTCCCGGGTGCTGGCTCAGTGCCTCCAGCTGGCGCCCTGACAGGGCCTCCGTGGGCAGCGCGAAGATGCCTCAGGGCGTCTCATGTCTCAGGGAGCCCCAAGCTTGAGCTGCAGAGCAACAGAGCCAGCGTGGGAAGGGGCTCTGGCAGGGCCTTGGTCAGCCCGGGAGACTGCGGGAGGACACGCCAGCGCACGGAGCTGCGGAGGTGTGCGGAGGCGCTGGGGCCCAGGGCGCACGGAGCTGCGGGGGTGTGCGGAGGCGCTGGGGCCCAGGGCGCACGGAGCTGCAGAGGGGCTGGGGCCCAGGGCGCACGGAGCTGCAGAGGGGCTGGGGCCCAGGGCGCACGGAGCTGCATGTCTGTCATGCAGAGTCTTCGGAACAGCTTGTCCGTGGCCCAAGCAGATGCTGGAAGGCCAAGTCCACATGCCGGGAAGGAAACGGAGGTTCCTCTCCAGGTTCCCGTTCCACCTTTTCCCTTTGGGGAACAGGAGGAGAGGGGCTAGAAGAGGAAAGAGGAGCCAGGGGAGCAGAAACAGCCAATCAAGACGGAGCCTGAGTGTGAACGGCCAGACAGGGAGGGGCGGGACCAGCGCCGGCTCTGTTCCTGCCACACAAGCACTGTGCTCTCTGCGTGGGCAGCAAGTCACCGGCCACCCGGACGCGGAGGGCAGCGGCACAGCGTGACTGTCCTGCCTGGAGCCGGCTGCTCGGGGTCATCAAGTTGAAGCCCAGGCAGGGAGCTCTGCTGGCGTCCGTCAGGTGCAAGGTAGCACTCTTCAAGTTCTGAGGGTCAAATCACCAGGGTGTCCTTCACGTCCGCCTCATTGTTGGGACCACTTGGTAACACCTCAAGGCTCTTCCAAACGATGTCTGCTTTTACCTGGGCTGCTCGACAGATCTGGCGCACCTCTTGTAACCACACAGTTCAATTTGGCAGCCATCGGAACTCCGGCCTTGTACATACAGTGATTCCGGAAGTGTTATAGGTTTTCTGTTCAGGACTTGCTCGGTGTAAGTAAAGTGCGCTTCAGCTATATACAATTCTCCCTTTGTTCCCGGCTGCCCCTTGTTGCGGACTGCCAACCATCACGTTCTACTTTTAAAGAGAAAACCAAATGCCAGGCACGCTACGCTTCCTCCTGTCTGTGTTATGCGTCCTGGCTCCAGCAAGGCTCCGAAAGCAGACATCTGGCATGTGGCAGAGGGAAGCCTTGGAAAGCGCGTCTGGGATCCGCTGGGGATGTGCGAAGCCCACAGGCCGAGGGGGAGGCCCGGGGATGTGCAAAGCCCACAGGCCGAGGGGTCTGTGGCTGCTGGTGCCTAGAACGGGGATGTGTGAAGCCCACAGGCCGAGGGGGAGGCCCGGGGATGTGCAAAGCCCACTGGCCGAGGGGTCTGTGGCTGCTGGTGCCTAGAACGGGGATGTGCGAAGCCCACAGGCCGAGGGGTCTGCAGGGCCGGCGCCTGGAACGGGGAGGCCCAGGGATGTGCGAAGCCCACAGGCCGAGGGGTCTGCGGGGCCGGCGCCTAGAACGGGGATGTGCGAAGCCCACAGGCCAAGGGGTCTGCGGGGCCGGCGCCTGGAACGGGGAGGCGGCCTGACCCCACGCCTCTGTGCCTGGAGTTTGCAAACCCTGCGGGGCTGCACTCCACCCGCCTCACGCCGCGGGCCACGTCCAGCTCTGCGGGGCTCGTGTCTCCTGAACACACCAGGCCTCATTACGAAATGTCCGCAGATGGGGCAACCAAGTGGAGAGGCGAGGGCTGGCGGGGAAGCGGAGGACCCATGCTAACGCCGTGGCCTCCGTCCTCACCTTCCTCATCAGACGCTCAGGCTCGCGTGCCACGTGCGATTCTGTCAGTGTCATTCCTTACAACAGCTCCTGGGCTGTGTGGTGAGCCTGCACCGGCCGGCGTCCCCGGAGCAGCCGTGGAGGCCGGAGCCCGGCCGCCTCCTCTGGGCGAGGGCAGTCTGTGGCTTGCTTCTGGGGCAGAAAGAGCACTCTCCATGACCCCGCAGGGCCGCAGCTGCACACTGCCTTTGTCCTTCACCAGAGAGAGGGGCTGGAAAGGCCTCTGGGCCCTGTCCAACACGGTGGCCTCTCCCCACAGGCAGCC